TTTTTTTTCCTCTCAGGCAGGATTTTAATTTCAATCTCAGCTGGCGAGCCGACAGTGTGACGGTGCACGAGGCTGCAGCTCGCTTCTATCGACGCCCGGCAGCCGTGTCGACTGCCTCGACCATGGTGTCTTTGCTCAACGCCTCTGCGGCCGTCGCTCCTCCGATCCGAAGATGGCAATGCCGCTTGTAACGGACGGAGCAATGCAGGATCCCCCGTTCGCTTGTCCAACAAAAGTGTCACAAGTCCTGCCGAACACCTCTCGGCCCCACTTGGGCAGGAGCTCAGTCGGTGTCGACATGAATCTGGCGCGCGTCGGCCATCGTACGATAAGCTGCCGCCGCCTCACTCTGTTCTGATGCATCTGCTCTTTGTTTGTGTGAGGCTGCCTACAGTAGCGTCCTTTTTGGCGGCCTCTTGAGCTGGCAACACCGCTCGACATGGTCGGCCCGCTCGTCCGAGACCGCCGCCGAGTGCCAACCGCGCACGGCAGCCGGTCGTAGCTCGGCGTTCAACGCTGCACTAGCGTCGTGCGGCACCATCAATAGTCTGGTTTCGGCGGCACCCTCTTTGACCTTGCCACCGGCCGGCGGTGTGGCTGAGATTTCCATTCATGCACCCACACCGCACGGCGCTTTCATTCGTGCCGACTTGCTGGGCTCGACGGTCGATGATGCTTGCAGGCTCCGACACCTGATACTGTGCGTCTCGTGGGCAATGGGGTCGGATGCACACACCCGATGTCGCAGATGCGCCGGAACGCTCCGCACCGCATCACTTAGGGGCTCCAACCAGCCTCCAAGTACAAACGGTAGCCGCGCGCACGGAAGAACGAACGGACTGCTAGATGAAGCCTTGTTTCCGACAACCATGCATGATGCCCTTCCTCCGCTGTGTCGGGTGCAGCCGTGTGCCAGACCCTTCGTGCGCACAGACAAAGTCTCGCAAAAAGACATGTCTTCTAACCGAGACAGTCGGTCCGCCTTAGCGTGCTCGGTGATTTTCATCCACCGACTTGCCGGGCTCTCCCCCCGAATTTCCCCCGCCAACGCTGCCAGCATGTCCTTTCGCCGGTGTGTATCGACGGCCACCATGGATGCCAAGGCCGAAGTGGAAGGATGCGCGCGCGTGGCTAGCTTCATCTTGGCATCCGCAAGTGCTGCAACACCTCATGTAGGTGTGTGAAAGTTGCATGGGCGCAACGCATGCACTCGCCTAAGCGAGACCTACAAAGCGTCGTGTCTTTTTTTTTT